CACAGATGTCATTATCCGATCAATATTAAACACATGTCGCAATCTGGTGAATTACAATTTTGTCTACGTGTCGCATCTTTATCATGCACATTTATATAATAAGATACATTCAAAGTAAAATGTATGAAAAAGAAAGAACACAAATCAAAATCGATTTAACCATATTGATTGTTTGTTACTATTCCCTGGTAAACACCTATGAAGTTCTTTTTGTCGTAATGCATACACAATTTGTTCGATCTTAAATATGTTCCAATGAATGAAGAAGAGAAATGTGTCCCAACCCATCCACAAATATTGGATTAACTTAATTTCAATACTCTTACACAGTTTTCTTCGTAAGGAATGTTTAACCACTGTTATCATTGATGGTTTTTCTCTTTTCTAGTGAAGTTATTTCTTCTTTTTCATGCATTCCCTATTTATATTGGAGTATTTGCGAAAATTATGAAATATATAGTATGTCTTGCTTTACTGATTACCAAAGTTTCGACCTTTCGTACATGATCCCGGTTTTATCATCCTGGTTTTGTTGTTTGTTTGAAATTTCAGTAATGGGTTCATAGAGATTTTGCATAAACATCTCAATTTCACTCTTTTTCACCTGAATCTCTGAAGTCTTATGTGCCAATTAAACAAATCAGTAAAGTAAATGGTGGTTTCGACCATATCCATATAGGGAGAATCATTAAGAAAAAGAGATACTTCTGATGTCACAAAGCTCTTTATGAGTCAACTCTAACACCAATCATATGTATGATTGATTTTAAAGTAAATACTTCATAGATTATATATGCATCTGATGATGATGCTTACCATTAGCTTGGAATTGAAGGAATGTGTTTGATGATGCAGATATGGTATATAAGTAATGATATTTTATTCCACATTGCATACGCAAAGTTATATATGGGGCCATATCTTATGCATGTGTCATGAACCATTATGTTTGGTGTATAGATGATCGAACAAAATCGTTATTATGCGTCGATCAAATTGAGAAAGGTTTATTTGGACTCGAGTAAAATTATATATAAGAAAGACGCTTTAGTCTATACTTATATCCGGAGAAAACATATAATTTAGGAAACAATGATAATAGTCTTATCATAAGACTATGAACACACGAACATGTCACTTGTATATAAAATGATGTCTTCTTAGTTTTCCTCTCTAACAAGTTAAATAATTGCAAAACAAAAAGCATGAAGACCTGCCTACTTTTTCCAAAATACCTATGTAATCAATAATGCAAGAAATATACCACTCTACTCGTTTCAAATGGATTATTAGTGAAATTGATGCA